TTATAAGGACTACTAAATTTTATAAGTTAATATAGTAATAACTTAAATATTATACTATCTATTTTAGTTTCTTCCCTTTACCCTAAGGCTTATAATAAGATTTATTAGTTATTATAAAAGCTTTTAAGTAAAAGCTTATATTAAAGGGAAAAATATTATATTATTATTTAGTATCTATATTTACAGCCTAAAGCTTAACCTTACAGGCCACAGTTATCCTATAGATATTATACCATAGAGACTAAACAATTGCGCTACGGTCTCGGACCGAGACCAGTTACTTCCATGTTGTAACATCTCATGACTATATCTACCTTATGTTTCGCAATAGGCCATTACCTGGGTGTACGCACTGTCACTGCTTCTCCTGCTGTTACTGCAAAGTCCGTTGGGCATGGGTCATATGCCCAACTGGCTGCAAAACTGCGTCTCTCTCTTAATAACAAAGGATTGTGATTTGTAGGGTGCCTTGGTAATACGAGATACAAGTCTTGCATGGTTGTGCGCCGATGGGCTTTGTGATAGGCGTTGCTTGGCGTCACCCTGGTCATCGGTTTACATTGACTTGGCGATTTGCATTGCACATATGCTCTCTGCACGTAAGGTGTATTGGATCTCGGTTCTTGGCGACTCCCGCAGTCAGCCTTTGATGGCGGGTAGTTTAGCGGCATCGAGTGGCAGTTTGCATGGCCGGAAGCCGTGTCACAATGCCCAGCCCTCTTAAGCGTGGCGCCTCTCCCCGCTAAGCGGCTTGGCCCGGAAGATGATTTACCTCGGGGGCCTCCCTGACCCATCCCCTGGGAATCCGAAATTGGCGAATGGCGATGCCTTTTGTGAGTCAGGGACATTGATCTTGGTGCTTTTTCTGAGGAAAGGTAATGATGACAGATTTCTGTTTTATCCCCGGCTTGAGTTCTACCACTGGCAGAGTTGAAGATTGGCAAGCCAGTCTGAGTGGGCGATAATCTGCTGCCCCGGATCACTGGTACGCCAAATGCTTTGGCATCATTGCCATATAAAAACAGCTGCCGGGAAGGGGCCCGCAATTTGGCTTGTTCGAGACCTGTTCTCCTCTTGGAGTCATGGTCACTTGCGGAGACGCTGCGTTTTAGTGTGGATTTAGTTCTTGAAAAGGTTTGATCTTTGTGCAGTGTAACTTCATCATGCCTGAATTCGGCAACTTGGGAAAGATGGACTGGACCCATTGGTGGGCGCAGGTCTAGACTTGGCAGTGACCCTGAGACACCTTTAGGATGTCTCGGATCTGGTAGCTGTCTTTCCCAGAGACCCTTTTCGCTATTCGTCAAGTAAGTGCCCTTGACTGTGTGGCTCAAGTCGAGCAATTCCATCGTCTTAGATGACGAAATTTTCCAGGTCGTATCGAAAGGCATTGGCAATTCTGGCTCTGGACTGACCCTGCCACCAAGGGCTTTGTCGGCGTTTTGCTGGATCCCACTTGAGTGTTTGGACTTTTCCCGTGCCGAATCATCTGGAGAGTCCTTGGCCATCATGCCTAATCCAATGCCGGCTCTCAGCAGAATATGTTCTCTAGCATCAAGGGCCGTATCGAAATTGCCCGTGCGTCGCGAGATCTCAGAGATAGGCGCCTTGGGACTTGATGAGCTGGCTCTTGATTCCATACATGCAAGCTCTTTCTGTGACTTTGGGATAGGCTTGGCCTGCTCTGCGGATCTGCAAGGAGAAGCCAGTTCTTCGTTGACGGTTTTCCTTGCGACACTCCTCTCTTCTTTCACTTTGCCGGATTGGCTCCGCCGGATTGGTTGCTCTTCTGCCTCTTGAGACTTGGCAGTGACACTACTGTCACTAGACCTTTCATTATCCACAGTAGTAGCGTCACGTGGCATAGACTTGCATTGGTATTCGTTCAGCTCTTGAAACTGGGAGATCGTCTCGAATGACGAAGGGAATCCATCATAAGAAGCCGGAGCTTTGTCAAAGCCCTCCATATCCAGCTGGAGTGAGGAGAGCCGGTGAGATAACTCTGCTGTGATGAGACTGGCCCGTAGTTGGGACGACAACGGATGTATTGTCGTGAAGGTGCTCTGTGTTTGTACGGTTCGCTTTCCCTGTCTAAAGAATACCCTCTTGAAAGAATATTGAAGGTGCTTCAGAGACATTGGCCTAACAGAGTGTCTTTTGTTGTGGCGGTATGAGTGGGGTTCTCGTGCTATTTTAGGTAGATCCATGTTGCTAGATTATAGCCTTGGAGAGGTAAGAAAGAATAAAAAAGATAGAATCCTAAGTCTTATTTATAATATTTATCTAAGGAGCTAAAATGACTTTTCTTAAGTTGATACTACTAATACTACAATAAAGTTATCCCTTGAGGTTTAATCTTAGGAAATGAGGAGATATAAGATATTTATAATATAATTTATATTTAATTCCGTATTAAAGTGAAGTATATACAAAAGGAGCTGTTTCCTTCTTCTGACTCCTGTCTGAGGAATTGTTCTTTACTATGTTAAACATATCTGCTGCAGCAGGGATATAGTGGACGCCATTACTAATCATCCTTCTCTTTCGACTGTGTAGTTTTCGATGGGCATTTAAATTATCCCTACGGGCAAAGGTATTCTTGCCGCAAAATTCACAGGTGTAGAGCTTTGTCTCTCCACCATGACATCTGTATGGGTGTCAGTGCAATTTCTCTAGCCTTGGGCATGATGTCTATTACGTCTTATAATGCCGCTTGGCGTGCTCCTTGCGCTTGAATGTCTTTTTGCAGGCGGGAAAGCCGCATGGGTAGCGCATCATTTCATATTGAACCCGGGTACCCGGGAGACGATTGGATTGCGGGTCTAAAAGGTTACTTAGAGGATTCTCCACACAGGACAGAGTTGGCTTACTGTGGGTCGGCCCATCATCTGATTGGCTTGGGGACTGCGAGCTCAACGGGTCCGCCCTTGAGTCCTCAAGGTTTGAAAGCACGTTTTGATCTTGGAGCACGTTGTGAGGCTCAGTCTTGTTGTTGCCCGACACCCGTTGGTCGATCAATGCTTTCAAGTCCAATAGGTTTGAGTCATCCAGGTTCCGAACATGGTTTAGAAGCTGACATATAGTAGGCGGTGAATCTTGCAATCTGACGTCCTCGGTTGTGACACTCGATGTAGGCTGTGTGCCGTCCAAATTTAGCTCGACCCAGTCATAAGTGGCTGGTGGCTGACAAGTGGTCTGATGTTGAAGTGGTGGGTGGCGATCATCGGTCAAATCGGCGCCGAAGCTAAGACCTGGCGAGTGGGCACTGAGATGCGGCACGGCTCCCGTACCAAAGCTGAAATCGAGATAAGGGGTGATATCGAATTCTTGGTCTGACCCACACCGTATCGGGTCAAGGCAACGGCCCGTATTCTGATCGCCGGAATGCTGCATATTTGACCCATGTGGTGGATGAAATGGAACATTTGCTAAAGGCTGACTCATGTCGAAGCTGAGATAAAACTGATCAGATGGGTCAACGTGATGGCTCGTGATGTTGATCTCAGATGGCTGGGGAGGGTTTGAGAGCTGCAGGTGTTCCAAGTTGGCCCTAAGGATGAAGTCAGCTCGGCTGAGAAATACCTAGAAATTATATTCTCGACTCACAAGTACAAATCCATCAAGTCAGGAGAGATGAGTTCGCACTCCTCTTGAGTAGCAAAGGAGTCCATTTCACCGAACTCCGGAGGCAGAAGAGGCAGACAGTCAGGAACTTGGAAAAGTACTAGAGTAACTGGAGAATTGCACACAATCCCACGTAACACGGGGCAGCTCCATCCTTTTTAAGAATTACATTCTAAATAGGATTTCAGCATTAAGTACCTGCGCCAGTTGCACTGAACGGGTAACGGTCATGTGCAGGTACCCGTGTCGATACGTGTATGTCACGGGTAGGTACGAAGATGGCCAAGGCCGCGCCCGACGACGAATGTCTCACTATCTACAGGCTGAATGAAGTGTACTAAATGGGTCCCATACTGGACAAAGGCTAATACTGACTTTCCAAGAGGCCTACTTTTTGGGTTATTCTGGTTTATCACTAGGGATATTGAGATGGATATTTCTAAGATCCCCTAATTAGAGGTACCGGTACACAAAGATTTACACTGCATAATACATTTTTAACCACTGTAGCCTGTAGTCAAGCAAAGAGCTATTCGGGAGGCCGGCTCCGATTTCATAGTAAGAGAGTTTAGTAGTGCAAGGGATGTTGAGGATCTGTGTTGTACTTACTGCGAATGGCAGTGATCTTGGGCGATAAACTTTGTGTCGTTTGAGAAGCCACCGTTTGTTTGCCCAGTAGAGACCTAATTCAGTGGTAGCTTAGCCACACGAGTGCTGAACTCACCGAACTGCTTGTTAAGGGCCCACGACAGCTCTACTCGGATCGATCCCGGGCAATTCTGATTTGGTAAAGATCCAAGCCGGCTGACGCCAAGATTCACGCACTGTCCAAGCGTTTGAAACTATTTTGTTAATACTAGCGCTAAGTCCTCGCGGGAGATCCAGGAAACTATGCGGGATCTGTAACCACATTAGCGTAATCTTGCATATGGCCGCTAACACCTCTATAGGTAGGACGAAGGAGTTGTCCAACTCTATCTAAACAGAGACTGAAAATGGTTACCTGCGTTAGGAAAACCATATCCGGAACTGTCCAAAAAGTGGCTTGAAGAGGCGACAGTAACTAAGAAAGGATACACACGCAATGTCGAGACTAGCGATATCTGGTTTGAGGTACTGGGATGGAGTTTCTCCAAACACCCTTACATGCTGTGAAACTGTATTCCTCTATTGCGGGTGAGATGGAAAGGCTAACTACTGTAGCTCTAACTCGAAGAAGGTAAGGTCAGGTACCCTCATTTGCCCCTCACCCAATTGCAATGATTGTCATAACACACAGAGAGCGATTTACTTGGTTAGGGGCATAAGTAGGGGCCATTTCCATCAGCTTCAGTGGTCTGTGCGCTGTAACCTCACTGTGCGAGCCTCTCTAGATTAGTGGGTCTACAGCGCCTTCAGAGGTATCTTGACCTAAACCTTAATTAATACAGCTTATACCTTAGCCAATTAGAATATTAAAATATTTTCAAAGTAGTCACGTGATATATATATCCCTACTTAACGCCACAGTAATAGAGAGATATGCCACAACCGCCACAGCATACTTCCTAAAGTGGTAGTTTTACAGTATTAAACGAGCCAATCAGAAAGCAGTACAGTAGGCTCCTCAGTGCAATTAGCACTAAATTACAGTGCAGTTACAACGCACAGACCACTGAAGCTGATGGAAATGGCCCCTACTTTTGCCCCTAACCAAGTACGACTAGGAATGTCTCATACTCAGTCTGACCTTGGGTAGGAAAATCAGCAGAATGGCTTGCACCAAAAACCGATCAACTCCCGCCAACGTTTTCCTGCTGTACATGTCGCGGGGGTCACAAATGTGCATTTCCGAGATTTTTCGGATGGATTCTGCCACAGAGGAATCGAATCCAGCAATAAGGTCTTATACGCTTAGTGGAACTGGAGATAATACTAAATTGATTTTCGAGGCGACTACAGAAGATACCACTGAATTTAACAAAAAGTACCGGTTTTACATTATAACCCCAAGGGCTGGATCTGGATAGCTGATAGCGCGCCCCTGTACGGCTGACCTTTGCCACCAAGAAAAAAAAGCCAGCACCACGACAAATTTAGTCATATCAAACTTGATTGCGCTGGGGGTGGTTTAAAAGATCATCTATTACAAAAGCGGCAAGTAGTGACCGAGACGCACCGGGAACCTGGCTACATTTTCGCCAAATGATACATAATAGTGCTTACAAGAGACTTAAGAAAACGTGTTTAAAGAAGCTACATCATGTACCTGCACCATACCCCGGAGGTGTATATCTCCTAATCAGTCGATGTCGCAGTCTAATAAGTAAATTCATAAAGTAAGAAGAATAATTGTTTAAATTTAAAAGTCCTTATCGTACAGAGAACTATACTCAAAGACAGTAAAAGAAGTAAATAATACTTGTAATAACTCCCTGTAACTCAGGCTACTGACATACCAATGCCATTATCCAAGAGTGCAGTGAACTTGATCCTTGTTGACCAAGCTTGACGACAACACGCCGTGTGAAAAGCTGGTGAGCCAATCACATTGAGCCAGCCGACTGAATGATCAAGGCAAGAGCCAGCGCCGCAAATGCAGCTCTACCAGTCTTGCTAGTACCCTCGTTGGAGGCCCCAGAGACGTGAACAGGGTGGGTGGATGAAGATGGTGTAGAGGCAGCGGTGGCCGGCTTCCCAGAGCCTTCACCAGACATAGTAGGGATACCGCCATGGACGATTGGTTCAACCGATACAGGGCTAGTCTTTTGAGTATTGACTGCGCCCGGAGCAGATTCAGAGTGAGGCTCTGGCAACTTGTTTGAAACAGAAGTTGCTTCGGGCATCAGATCAGTCAGAATAAGAGCAGAAGCAGAAGTGGTAATGACTGGAAGTAGATGTGTTGAGATGCAGTCTGAAGAGACGGCGCTGTTTGCAGAAGCCGCTCCGAAGAGCAGGGAACAAATAAATAAGGGAGACCAGTACTTCATAGTGCCTACTGGTATTGAAGTATTAAAAGATAGAAATGAATGTAAAGTTTAAGGATTTGATTTAGCAAAAGGCTATTAAAAGGTTCTTATACTGCAGCATATACCAGGTAAATATCAACATTGGTCTGATGCTACACATACCGTCTTTTTTAGTCCATGATGTCGCAATCATACATGTGCAGTCTCCATACTCCTGAAGTTGCTTAGGCCTCTATCAGAAAGGGAAATCCCCCTCAAGATTCCATAATCTCAGTCGTATGATTTATCCCTTTCCCTAGACAATAAAGAATCACGTGGCTGTCCCTTTCAAAGCACAGGGGCGATATATCTGGGAAGAAATATCTCCCTTGAGGTTCCTAGTCTTGTGTCTTGCTCTTTGTCCTTGGAAGATATGCCACAATGCGACGGCAGCATTCAAAATGAAAGGGTTACCGATATACTAGCTCTGTCCCTTTCGAGCTGAGATAAGCGAACTATAGTAAAGGGTTTTCTCCCTTGTGGTTTTAGATATCGTTCTTTGCAACTATTTGTGGTTGAAGCTAAGGAATTATACAGTCCTCCATGGAATACAAGGGGCCCCACAATAAGGTTCAGTCATTAAGATCCTGTGGAGATGATTTAGACTGGGGCTCTATGTCCAACGGAAAATTGAGGCGGTACCTTGGCATGTTCATTTACATGAGATACCTTGTTTCTATTTCCTAACGATGAGGAGTCCACTCGGGGGTGCAGATCCTCCGGTCGCCGATATCCCTAACATATCCCCTGCACTAGTATCAGCCATCAACGCCAGAGGGGACTTAGACTTTTTGAATCACTGCCTACCACTAATAAGGCTGCCCAAATCGGTTGAACCTGGCCTATGACCCTGAAATGTAAGGGATCATGACAAGCCTTGCCATCGTCGTGGCCGATGGAGGCATTGTGTTGAGACTTGAAATCAACAACAAACTGCTAGAACTCTGAGATGGTGGGGCTCTCTGGAGATCTATAAGTAAGAGAACAATAAGTCATAGTATTGAAAATCATCACTCTATTTACATCGCTCGCTCATTCATTCATTCATTCATTCATTACTTACACTTCTGCTAATTGGCTTTCACATCAACGCTCTTTTTCAACCCTCAAGCTATGCATCTCACCATAGGTGCGGCTTTTGGCCTTGTCGGCAGCATTCTTGCTGCTCCTGCGCCAGATGCCTGCATAGGTGATGGGACAGATGTAGTGCTCCAGCCGTATGAGATTGTACATGATGGTCAGACATCTACTACGACTATTACGCGCACTTATACCCGCAACTCTTGGTATACTCAGACTCTTATCCCTGTCCCGCAGAATAGCCATCTAGGTTCAGGAGTCCCTACCTCTCCAGGAGCCCAGTCCCCTTGCAAAGATTGTGTTACTGTGACCACTACTGGCTCTCTTCCTTACGTCACTACGATCCTGCCTGGTAGTGAAGGGGACAAGACAACTGTCATTGTATGTGCCGGTTCTGGCTCTAGTCCTGGCCATCCTGGTTCTGGCTCTGGCTCTGGCTCTGGCTCTGGTTCTGGCTCTGGCTCTGGCTCTGGCTCTGGCTCTGGTTGTGTTACTATCACTACCACTGGATCTATCCCCTTCATCTCTACAGTAACACCCAATAACCCGGCTGGCACTACCACTGTCTATCAACATGTGCCTCACTGCCCGGTATGCGCTACTGTCACTACTCATGATACCATAGCCTACATCACAGCGGTACCTCCTGTCTCTACTGGTGGCAAGAGCACAGTCATTATCTGCCCTGGACCTACGACAAAGACTGTCACTGTGACTGATATGGTTCCTGTTACAACTACCTTGACGCCATCACCAGGCTGTGCCTATTGTACGGCTACCGTTGTTTGTCCCCCAGAAGTTACTGTCACTACCGGTGGATCGGTTCCCGGCACTACAACACTGCCTCCTGCTCCTGGTTGCACTAAGTCGTGTACTAGAACAGTTGTTATTACAACTACAACAGGGCATCGACCTGCTACAACTATTTTCACAACTGGCCCAACTGCTGGAACTTCTACTTTGCCAATCCCCTCTGGTTGTACTACATGCACTCAAACCTTTGTTATTACAACTACACCAGGGCAGCTACCTGCCACAACTGTCTTTACAACTGGCCCAACTGCTGGAACTTCTACCCTGCCAATCCCCTCTGGCTGCACCAAGTCTTGTACAGAGACAATTGTTATCACCACTGTACCAGGTCAACCACCAGCTACTACGGTTTTCACAAATGGAAATGTTCCAGGAACTACAACTCTGGCCCGCCCTTCTGGCTGCACCAAGTCGTGTACTGAGACAGTTATCATCACTACTATACCTGGTCAATCACCTGTTACTACTGTTTTTACCACCGGAGCTATACCAGGAACTACAACTCTACCAGTAGATCCTGGCTGTTCAACTTCGTGTACAAAAACAGTTCTCGTTACAAACGTCCCTTCAAACACTCGAGGTGTTATCACTATCACATCCACCGGGTCAGTCACATCACCAACTGCGACGACCATTACAGGTACCGGCACGTCTCCTGACACTGTCATCACCATCGTTCCCTTTCCTACTGATCGAGTTACCACCATTACGTCTACTGCATCTACAACCGGCTTAACAACCGTTCCACCTGCCACAAGCGGCGGAACGACGACTGTCATTACATTTGTTACAACTACTCCTGTACCCACTGGTCCTGTCACTACTATTACTGAAACCGCCCCCACAACTGGTTTAACCACAGTCCCTCCTGCTTCCAGCGGTGGCACAACCACAGTGATTACCTTCGTTACCGGACTGCCAACAGGGGGTCGAACCACAGTTACTTCCACTGGTACTGCTACTGGTCTGACTACATTACCTGCTACTAGTGGCGGTACCACTACAGTTGTTACCTTCGTTACAGGCCCTCCTCTTATCACAACTGTTACCTCTACCGGCCCAGCTACTAGTCTGACTACGTTACCTGCTACTAGTGGCGGTACCACTACAGTGGTTACCTTCGTTACAGGCCCTCCCCTGATCACCACGGTCACGACGACTGGACCAGCTACTGGGGTAACTACAATTCCGCCCGCTAGTTCTGGTGGTACTACTACTGTCATGACTACTGCCACGGGACCTCCCCTGATTACCACTATTATAACTACTGGAACAGCTACTGGCGTGACTACAATTCCCCCTGCAAACTCTGGTGGCACTACCACTGTCGTCACCACTGTAACCGGGCCACCTATGGTTATCACGCTTACGACCACAGGAACCGCAACAGGTCTTACCACCTTACCTGTAACTAGCGGTGGCACAACCACCGTCATAACCACCGCGACAGGACCTTCCCTGGTTACCACAATTACTGTTACAGGAACTCAGACCGGTCTCACTACCCTGCCAGCCACTCCAGGTGGAACAACTACTGTTGTCACCTCTGTAACCGGGCCACCTATGCTTATCACTGTCACAAGCACAGGGAGCGTAACTGGTCTGACTACATTACCAGCCACCTCGGGTGGCACGACTACCGTTGTGACCTATGTAACTGGACCTCCTATGCTTACCACGGTCACAAGCACAGGAACTACAACTGGTCTTACTACATTACCAGCTACCTCAGGAGGCACTACTACTGTTGTGACCTTAGTCACCCCGGCCGGTGCCCTTACCACTGAGACGTCTACTGCATCAACTACAGGCCTGACTACCTTGCCTGCAACTAGTGGTGGCACGACTACTATCGTAACCTACGTGACCGGGCCTCCTATGGTCATAACGGTCACAAGTACAGCCTCGACTACTGGTATAACGACCTTACCTGCAACCAGCGGTGGCACAACTACCGTTATAACCTTCGTGACGCCGCCTGCGTCTGGAGGTCTCACTACGCAGACGTCGACTGCATCGACCACCGGCCTGACTACCCTGCCTGCTACCTCAGGCGGCACTACTACAATTGTTACCTTTGTAACGCCATCTCTAACAGGAGGTCTAACTACCCTGACGTCCATTGCATCAACCACTGGCCTCACCACGCTGGCTGCTACTTCGGGAGGCACTACTACAATTGTCACCTACGTTACAGAACCTCCTATGGTCACTACGGTTACAAGCACAGGGACCGCGACTGGTCTGACTACCCTACCTGCTACATCAGGAGGCACCACTACAATTGTGACCTTCGTAACGCCGTCACCTTCCGCCGGAGGCTTAACTACCCTCACATCTACAGCATCGACCACTGGCCTGACTACCCTTCCCGCTACTTCTGGAGGCACTACTACAATTGTGACCTTCGTGACGCCGTCACCTTCCGCCGGAGGCTTGACTACCCTCACGTCTACAGCATCTACAACTGGACTGACTACCTTACCAGCTACATCAGGAGGTACAACAACAATTGTCACATATATTACAGCCCCAACTGGCGGTCTTGTCACCGTAACGTCCACAGCATCAACTACCGGCCTGACTACCCTTCCGGCCACTTCGGGAGGCACTACTACAATTGTGACCTTCGTAACACCTGTGACTGGTGCTGTTATTACTCAGACCTCAACAGCATCCACCACTGGCCTGACTACCTTACCGGCTACATCAGGGGGTACTACTACTATTGTCACCTTCGTGACGCCATTTCCATCCGGAGGTCTAACTACTATTACGACTGAAGGTGTATCAACTGGTCTAACCACGTTGCCTGCTACTTCAGGCGGCACTACAACCGTTATTACATTTACCACGCCTGGTGGAGGAGTAACAACGCAGACCTCAACTGCATCGACAACCGGTCTGACAACCCTCCCTGCGACTTCTGGGGGCACAACAACTGTAGTCACTTTCGTCACGCCTGTGACTGGCGCTATCATTACGCAAACTTCGACTGCCTCAACTACTGGCCTGACAACCCTCCCTGCGACTTCTGGAGACACCACTACTGTAATCACCTTCGTTACTCCAGTGACTGGCGGCTTGACCACCGAGACAATAACTACATCAACGACTGGTCTAACGACCCTACCAGCCACTAGCGGTGGGACCACTACTGTAATCACGTTTGTTACGCCTGCCCTTACAGGCGGTATTATCACTCAGACCTCAACTGCATCGACAACAGGTCTGACTACCCTGCCGGCAACTAGCGGGGGCACTACCACTGTCGTCACCTTTATCACCCCTGCCCCCACAGGTGGTTTGACCACTCAGACCTCAACTGCATCGACAACAGGTCTAACAACCCTACCTGCTACCAGTGGTGGGACTACCACAGTAATTACCTTCGTCACCCCTTCACCTACTGGTGGCCTCACTACTGAGACTTCGACTGCATCGACCACCGGACTGACGACCCTTCCAGCTACATCTGGAGGTACTACAACTATAGTCACCTTCGTCACACCTGGCGGCGGTCTGACCACTGAGACTTCGACTGCATCAACTACAGGTCTAACCACTCTGCCTGCCACCAGCGGTGGAACTACCACAGTAATTACCTTCGTCACCCCTTCACCTACTGGTGGCCTCACTACTGAGACTTCGACTGCATCGACCACCGGACTGACGACCCTTCCAGCTACATCTGGAGGTACTACAACTATAGTCACCTTCGTTACCCCTCCCGGTGGCCTGACTACACAGACATCAACAGCCTCAACTACTGGGCTAACTACCCTCCCTGCTTCCTCTGGCGGCACCACAACTGTAGTCACTTTCGTCACCACTACACAGTCAGCTGCCCCTACCTTCTCATGTGATGGGTATGGGTATCTGATCCAGGACACAAGCCTCTACCGATTGAATATTTCAAGTGGCATGATATCCGTTCTTCGCTCACCTGTTGCTACCGGTACCGGCACTACTATCAATGCTATTGGCTACAACATATTGGACAACTATATTTATGGTGTTCTAACCGATCAAACGGGCTCCTCCATCATTCGTATAGATTTACAAGGGAATTATGTCACAGTTGGAACTTTCAATTTCCCGCCTCTGCTTGGAGACATTGACTCTCAAGGACGATACTGGTTAGGCCACACCGATGGCCGATGGGCCCAAGTCGATCTTGTCCCTGGCTCACCAACCTTTGGGCAAGTGATTCAGTCAGGTACCAATCCCACGTTTGATGCATCTGATTGGGTGTATTTATCCGGTGGTGGTAATTATCTTTATGGAATTGCCCGTTCGTCTGTATCCCAAAGCAACGCGATCTTGGGGCGATGGGACATGAACACCAAGACGTGGACGTCACTCCAGAATTTTGGCAGTATTACTGCTGACAATATCTTTGGCGCTACATATGCAGGGGGCAGCAACACCTTTTTTGCTTCTGAAAACACAAGCGGCAGAATCTTCAAAGTTGACATTACCTCTAGAACCATCTCACTCGTCACAAACGGTCCTATTTCGCTTAACAATGACGGTGCTAGATGCGCTCTTGCAGGCAGTCTACCAGGTGGTCCGACAGGTGGTCCTGGCGGGCTTACTACTCAGACATCAACTGCATCTACGACTGGTCTGACTACCCTCCCTGCTACTTCGGGAGGAACCACCACTGTCGTGACCTTCGTTACCGAAGCTTCATCTGTATCTGCTTGTCCTGCCCCTCGGTGTACTGCCGGAATGCAGTGGGATGACTATGCCTTGCAACGCAATCCCGTTGCTAACTATTGGACTCCAGGCACCGTCCCAGATAATACTGACCAGGTATCTGATGGTCCTTATCAATATGGTTATCCTCAATACTCTATCCAAGATCAGACTCCAGTAAGATCTGGAGTCACCAATACCATAGGGTTTGGTTGGACATATGCGAACCCTACACTCTATGGAGTGCCGCTAGGCATTCAATACTTCGATCATAACATTGTCGACCACTATGGCTATTTCAACCCTGTTGTGTCAGGCACTTATAACTTCACATTTAGTGGAGTCGATGACGCTGCCGCCTTGTGGCTTGGGCCAACTGCTTTATCCGGATATACGACCCAGAATGCCAATCTCACCGCAGGCAACGTCAACGCAGCCAATTATGATCAGTCAGGCCCTAAGAAACTCAGCGTGCTTGTCCAGGTTTCACGTTGTGAGCTCATTCCTATCAGGGTCATGTATGTCAATGCGCAAGGTCAAGGATTGTTTCAACTCCTTATCCAGGATGCCTTCCAGAGGACTGTTATGTCCAGCGGTCAGCCCGTTACGAGCAACCAGATTGTTCATGGGTGCAATTCCTAAGTATTAATCCTCTTAAATCTATCTTTCGTTCTTTCCATACTATTATTATTACCTAACTGTCTTTATATCTTTCTCTATTTAAGATTTAGTTACTTAGCTAGCTATTGTATAAAGAGTTTTTCTATTCTTATAATCCCTCTTTAAGGGAACTTAATATAATTTTAACTGTATTTATTTATATTATATATAACTCTATTAGTAACTATATCTAG